CCTGTAAGTCTTCTCCACAAGCCGGTGCCAGGGGCTGGGGGTGGGGTGGGGGTTGACACCTTTTTCCTGCTTAGACCCCTGGGTGGCCTGTTTGTGGAGCCTCCTGGTTGGTTTGCTGGACACCCCACAGGTAAGCAGGATGAGATTTGGGCTCTTCAGTTTTTTTAAAGAATGAGTTATCATTTATTGATATGGCCTATCATGTGCCAAGTGCTTTATAAATTGTCACCCTTTGAAACATGTATTGTTATTTTTTGATGAGGGGCTCTTCATTTCACAGGGGAGAAAACAGGCTCAGAGAGGGAAAGGGACCTGTTCAAAGTCACACAGGAGTGCCAGGGCTGAAATGCAGTTGCCCTGCCTTCTTTTTGTCATTTCTTCCACTGCTAAGGTGAGGAGGGGGTATAGTCACAACTGCCAGAGACAGCTGTGGTTGAGCTGTGGCCTCTCCTGTGATCTCAGGTAACACCTCAGAGGCCCTGCCCATCCAGCTGGCTGCTACATTCTCCTCAAAGTTCAGAGCCTGCGCCTGGTGCTTGGTCAATGCAGGGGGACCCCTGCCCTTGCCCAGGGCCCTCAGAAGGTAGAGCCTGAACATTATATAGGGGTTGGTGCTCCTATGAAACTATGGTGGAGAGGTAGAGGATACTACTCCAAGCCAGGATTGGGGGGGGGGGTCTGTGAACCCCAAGACCCTTGGAAGTCAGTAAGAAGTGGGAAGATAGGCAGGTCATTTGGAATTTTTATTTTTCACTGAGCTGAGTGAGGAAATCCAGCTATGGAATCCAGAGAGAGAGAGTTCTACAGGAACAAAACAGAAATAGTCTAGGCCCTGGGCTCAGAGAAGGTCTGGAATCACTTGGGCTACTGTTTGGTGCCAGCTTCATCCTTGGTACTTGTTCCCTCACACAGCATCACTCAGCTCCCAAAAGCCAGAGCCCACAGTAGCAGCTGCTTGATGCTATAACTGCAGCTCCTGCCCTTCCCAGGGAGGGGTGTAGGGTTCACCTCAAAGGGCCAGGGAGGCCAAGCTAAAAAGAATCTTAAAAATCACCCAGTTCATCCTCATTTTATAGATGATGAAATGAGGCCCAGAAAGAGAAGTGGATTTCAAGGAGAATAAATGTGGAGACTCAAACTCAGTCCTCCTGTCTGCTGAGGTTGCCTGCCTAAAGCCCCCTCTAAGCACACCGGAATGCTGGTGTCTAGATGGGTGAGGCACCAGGGGGGCTGGCTTGTATCTGTGTGTGCCAGGATGCATCTGTGGGGTATACCTCTGCACATGCCAAGGTCTGTGTGTCCCTCTATGTGTCTCCAAGTGTGCAGGAATTTGGGGCCTTGGCCAGAGGAAGTCGGTTAGGTCTGTTCCTACAATCTTGGGAGGCTTCCTCAGGCTGAGTAGGGAGGGTGAGTCCTCAAGGGTAGGGGAAGAATGGGGGATTTCCTCCCAGAGGAGAGGAAGAGAGACCAGAAGGCAGGCTGGGGCAGGGGAAACAAAGACAAGGTGGGGTACGGGTCCACGGCAGTTGAGATGTGCTCTTAGCACTCATGTGGGCCCAGCCCTCTGGTCACTCCAGTGAGCAACCCCAGGTGAAGTAGTTACATGATGTGGCACTTCTCAGCTGATTGCTTGAGGTCCCCCAGTGTAGCTTGGGCCTTGTCCTTGAGTGAGCCAAGGTCTAAGCCAGGAAGGCTGGTCAGCTGCCCGAGGACTGAGGCCCTCTCCTCCTCCTCCTCTGTGTCCTCCTCAATCATCTTGGCCAGCTCCTGAGGCAGCTCCACGTCCCCGCCTGCCGTCTGGATCTGGCTCTCATCTGTCTCATTCTGAAGAGAAGAGAGTTGGGCTGGGGTTGGAGATCTGTGGGACCCCAAGGTGAGGGTGTAGGGAGGAGGCCTGGACTGGGTTCCAGGCTCCTAGATTCTTGAGCCCCATGTTCCAGTGAGCTCAGCCCCCACCCCCACATCCCAGGGTCAAGCTTTTGACATTTGTATACTTTTATACCACTTTACTTCACTCTGAGATACTGAAAGTAAGATATTAGCATAGTGAGTAAGGACAAAAATAGGAATACCTAAGGGTCAAACTGTTACAGTTAGTTATATATTGACTATTGTTAACTACACTGAAAGACACTACCAATAATAGAGATGGGCACCATTCATCAAACACCTATTATACGGCTGATATTGAGCTGAGTGCTTTAAATTCTCACAATGACCCTGAGAGGTAAATACTATTTTCTCCATTTTACAAATAAGGAAATTGAGGTTCCGATAATTTAAGTAAGAAACTTTCCCATGGTCATACAACTTGGAAGTGGGATAACTAGATTCAAACCTGTCACTGATACCAACATTTGTGCTCTATTTGTAAGGCACTTACTGATTGTCATTGTACTTCCCTAACCCTTTGGGGGCCCTGGGGCTTTCCACTTTCTGTGCCTCTTCTACTGCACTCAGAGTTCCCTAACGGAAGGAGTTGTGTCTCTTATATGCTTAATGCAAGCATTTGAGGAATGATTACATTCCTAGCTATGCTTAACTCAGTTACTTCCCAGAAGGGCAGGCTTTCTGGACCTGTTCTCCTTTTGAGAGACTTCTAAAAGACTTGTACCTTGTGGGGAGTCAGAAGCAGCCAGAGGCCCAGGAAATATTTGTTGAATGAGTGGGTGTGATATTCACATATCTGACCTTCCAATTCAGATGGAAGATCAAGGTTGGTATACTATAGCATTGTATTTCTGTTTCTTCTCAGAGTCTATCATAGTTTTGGGCACTAGAAGTAGCTTGTGCCTTGTGCCTCGGTTCTCTCCTTAGGCAGAAAGAGTAGAACACTTATGGCCCATCTGGTGCTGCAGTGCCTAGAGGAGACATCCTCCTGGCTGCTTGGTCAACCAAGGAGTTACTTTGCTCTCTGCAGACATATCTATACTCTGGAAAGCAGCCAGGGGCCTGGAGCAAGCTCAGCATTCACAAGCTTGAGTGCCATCACTCACTGGCTGTATGATCTTAGCCAAGTCCCTTAATCTGAGTCTCAGTTTCCTTATTTGTAATTGTGGGTGATTGCTACCTGACAGAATTACTAAGGGGTTAGCTAAGGGTGTGAAGGTTAAGTGCCTGGCACACAGAGGGTGCTGCCTTCTTTCTCCACCCCACCCTCTCTGGGTATTCAGAAGCCCCAAGAAGCCTCACTCCCACGGTAGAATCTATTGCCTTCCAACTCTTCATCTGCCTGAGTCTGACTTCTATTGGGGGAGTGTAGGTTGGACAGAAGGGGCCTGGACTGGCTCCAGAAACACAAACTTATCAGTCTCTGGAGGACTGGGCTACCCCTTCCTTGCCAAGCCCCAGACCTATGCATGCTCCAGTTAATAGTGAAGGAGTGAAAGAAGCTCTCCATGAGTCTTAGGAGCTGAGAGTCATGAGTTCCGAAGTGGGGCAAAGGAGTCCAGGGCCTGGGGCTCAGGGGCCTGGATGTGCGTCAAAGCCCCCTCTCCTAAGCTTACCTTGGGCAGCCGGTATTTGTCTCGGAAGTGGCTCCGCAGCGTGGCCCGCTCTGCCTTCCTCTGTGTGAACTGTGTGTCCCGTTCCATCCTACAGGGGTACCGAGGCTGGAGTCATTGCCAGCACTAAAGAGATGGGCACCTGTGGACCTATGTGTCAGGGAGGTGCTTGGACTTGGCAGCTGTCTGTTGTTCTTTACTGCCTGTCCCTCCATCACAGAGCCCTTTCTAGTCTCCACACCTGCCTCTGGACAGAGCTAATGGGGTGGGTGTCACTCTGGTTCCCTAATATATGTCTTTCTCGGCCTCCAGCTTGGTCTGTCTTTCCCCTCCCTGACAGGTTGTTTGGAGTGAGGGGAAAGTATTCATAACAGACTTGAGTTCTCGTCTGGCTCCATTACCACTTTTGGTATGTGTATATCTTTGGGTAAGTCACTTACCTTCCTCCTTCGTAGAATGGGGATAAGATTTTGCAACTCACAAAACTGTTATCAGGATTAAGTGAAATAATTATAGCTAACATTTAATGATTTACCATGTGCTAAGCAGTTTACATTAAGTAATTTAATCTTCATAAATATATAAGGTATGTTTTATAATTATCATCCCCATTTCAGAGAAGAGGAAACCAAGGCAGTAAATTGCCTAAAATCACCCAGCTAAAAAGAATCAAAGCCAGGATCTGACCCAAGCAGCTCTGGAGTCCAGCCCCTAACTCCCCTTCAGGTGTCTCTCTGTTCCAGCATTGTCTGCATACCAGTGGACTCAGTATCTATGAATGCCCCCATTTCAGGATCCGTCTCCCTGACTCTGAACTCCCCTCAGCTGCACTGCTTTTCTCAGAGCCTCAGGCTCAGAGGAGCTCCATTTGGAAGACGCAGACTTTGGGACCAGATCGGATTAAAGGATTACTTGTTTCGTCAGAAATGTACGTGCCCCACTGATCCCAGACTCCTATCGCCCCTGCTCCCACCACTTCCTATGGGCCAAATGCGAAGCAGGGGCAGGGTCCTGGGTTTGAAATGTTGTGGCTGGGGGTGGCAGAGGGCAGCCTGTATACAGGTGCACATCCCAGCCTCTTACCAGTCAAGAAAAGTAGGGGAGGGGCTTGGGGTCAGAGACTGCCCTAGGGGTGGGCCGGGCGGCTGGAGGGTGGAGTGTAGGAGAGGGTCGTTGGGACCGGGAAGGGATCCCACTCACTTCTCTTCCACCAGTTGCTTCCGATACTCCTCATACTCCTCTCGGCTCATGCCCTGCGTTTCGGCCGCCGATTTGTCCCCGTCCCCCTTGTCTTCACCGCCACCCAGGCTCCCCGTGAGGTTCTTCAGCTGGCCGCCCACCATAGTCTTCACCATGAACGTCATGGTCTTCGCCGGCCGGGGCACTGGGCGCCCGCACCACGCGCCGGGCAGGGCACGGCCGAGCCCTTCAG